TCTAAAAAGTCAACAATGTATCTCACATAGTGTCGGCAATGTTCCATGTGTACAAAATAAAAAAATAACTTGGACACACTGCTAGAATTTTCGAAACATGTTGTTATCCAATATACTTATCTCTCAATTTGTTGACTATGTGTTGATAACATATCTAACTGTACAAAATAAAAATAATAATTAAGAAGTGTGAACGCATTTTCTACTAGTGTTAGTACATGTCGGATACCAAAGCCGACACTGGGAGGTTGTCAGTGTGTATCCTAGCTGTTCCCCAAGGCTATCCTCATAGTAGTTCCTCCCTCTAGAATTTTGACATTCGAGGATTTGATCCATTTCTTCCCTTTTCTTTATTTCATCTTATAATTTGGTAATAAAAGAAGCACTTCTCCCTTCGACTCTGGATTGACCTAAATTCCTAGTATACCATGGATCTTTTGAGGGGATCATTTATGTGTACAAGACAGACGCGAGGAAAAAATAGTAATGTTTTTCTTTATTACAATGCAAACAATGAGGGTGAACTACTATAAATGCTTTGGTCGTTTTATGATTATTTATTGTTCTCGAAAGTAGACATTACATTAGGGTACAATCTTTAACATTTTTACTTTTACACGTTCTGCAGTAACAACGCAAGCCTTGGAGGAGGCTCCTCGCAACATGCAATGTGAGAACAACTTTCTGATTCGGAGTTTAATCTTGTGTTCTGGTGCAACCAAAGAAGATGTTGAAATACTGGTAATCATACCCACGTTAATCAGTACAAGTTTGTTTAAAGCTGATACTGTTTTCTATTTCTAGCCTCTTGGATATATTTTAAAGCCGGTTTGAGAATGTACCAATAGCCGGTGTTGACTCTGATTAACCTCTTTTTGGTTGCTTGAAAGATGTGATGCAAAAGAGTTACTTGTGTTTTAATAACTTGAGAAAATTGGACAAAGTTTTGGCCTCAAACTAACTAAGACTTCTCCAGAGCTGTCCTGCACAATATCATTTCTTTAACCACTCTTCCCGGAAGCATTATAAAATGTGCCCTATAGTTTATAGAACTCTTTATTTCAAATACGAGCTAAATGAACTGAAAAATGAATTGCATGTTTGTTTTATAGTTCGATGAGGAAGGACATCGTAGTCAAAATGGCCTACTGAATGCAGATTACATTTTTCCTCCCCAAGTTAAGTCAGTAGTTCCTGATGGAATAGTAAGTTTTTCTTTGGCTGCTGAAGTTTCTGTTTGCCAGTAGTCATTATTTCGTGTAATGGTCTGTGCATTAACAATTGATTTCTGTCAAGAGGTGAGAATGAAAATCAATATTGAAGGATAAGTTTCCCATCAATTGCTGATCTAGTTGAAAGTCTCTTTCTCGTGTCACAAATATGTTCCTGATAGCTGAAATAGACTGAACTGAAATTATTTTCTTGATGGTGCTTATTTACTTTGGTAACATTTTTCATGTGTAGGTAGCATGGCTAATCATTGCCGTGCTTGCCATAACTTTCTGGTATCTCATGAAAAAGACGTTGCTGCTCATCTGGTATTCATCTTTAGTTTTAAAACTTTTATTTGCAACACTCTATGACAACAAATCATGTCCAATTGAATTACAAGCTGCATTTTCCTGGTTGTTCTGTCGATTCTGCTCTATTATATGACAAACTTTTGTCTGAATGATCTTCTCTTGAGGAATTCTTTGCATTATATAAAAAATGTATTACCTCATACAACTATGGTATCAATCTAAATATAGTAGATGTAATCAACGTAAATATGGTAAATACAATTATATACATAATTATGTTAAGTAATAATCTTCGTCAATCTCCATGACATCTGTCGATCTCATTGACAATATCTATTTGAGCTGATGAGGTCACAGGTGGGCGTTGCATTTTTAAATTTAAACCAACCTGACTAAAAAATTGGGTAGAAACACCTTATATATGAACTTAAATTTAGTCTTCAATGCATTCCCTTCAAGTACATGGCAGACGGCTAGAGTCGTATATAAAATTTTTATAAATAGGCAGCGATGAGATTTGTTCATACAATACTATGCTGAACCAGATCGAGTACATTTATTTATTGACATAGTTTTCAACAGCTTGATTTTTAACTCTTGTTCTGGTGAATGCAAAAGAGCATTTTCAATTAAACAAAGTTCACATGAGTTAATAA